GAGTTGAGGGTGCAATGGGTGTGACCCTGGGCTGCCCAGCATTCATGTGGAAGTGAAGCAAGGAGGACTGGATCAATCCCATTGGAAAGCGTGCCTCTCTACAGCCCCCATCGTCCTCCAGCAACACCGTAAGCATACGGCTTTGACATACATCAAAGGCTTTAGGTATATACATGTTCTGGGGTCTGGGAGGCCTGACATTCTGTGGCAGAAGGAAAATCTGTCAGATTTCTTCACTATAAAAATGATGAAACTGCAGGTTCACCAAGGTATGTGGCTTACTTCAGATCACACAGGGATGAGCTTTGAGCACTGCCAATAAAAGCAATCACAACAATTATTCCATAATTATTCATAGGATCCATGTCATTCAGAAAATATTCATATAACTATTCAGTAATTATTTGTTGACCAATTTGTACCAGGCATTTTGCTCAAAACTCTGCACATATTTGGACAGCATATCTTCATCATAATCCTCAAGGTAACGCTGTTCTCCTAAGAATCAGGTAAGAAACCTGAGCAAGAGGGCTAGCAAATCATGAATTTGGCCAGATTTCCAGTTTTTGGTTTCTGTGATGCTGGACGAATGACCAGAATGAGTCACAGGAAGAGTATTCCTTCCTGTATCATTTTCCAGGACAGAGGTGTGCCCTCCTAGGATATTAGGATCAAAAGTCAGAAGTGTCTGCAGATTTGCTTTAACAGCATGGAAAATACCCTCTATCTTCCATGGAATTAGACGTGGTATTTCCCTGGACCTTTGGAATATACAAGAGAAGTATGAGACTTGGGTCTTCCCTTGGCTGTATTTAATTCTTTCTTCTGTGGAATGCCAATGATTCTAAGAGTTTTGCTTTTTTTTTCTTTCTTTCTTTTTTATTTTGAGACAGAGTCTTGCTGTCACCAGGCTGAAATGCAGTGGTGCAGTCTCGGTTCACTAAAACCTCTGCCTACCAGGTTCGAGCGATTCTCCTGTCTCAGTCTCCCAAGTAGCTGGGACTACAGGCATGTGCCACCACGCTCGGCTAATTTTTGTGTTTTTAGTAGAGACAGGGTTTCCTCATGTTGGCCAAGATGGTCTCCATATCTTGGCCTCGTGATCCACCCACCTCGGCCTCCCAAAGTGCTGGGAAGACAGGCGCAAGCCACCGCACCTGGCTGACTTTTGCCTTCTTCTATCCACAATATAGGTTTTATGAAGAAGATTTCACTAATAGCTCTATTTAGAAAGAATTAATATGAGCTATAGTTTAGGTTTTATGCCCTGGACTTACTATTTTTATGACTTCTGTTTTGAGATTAAATTCTCATGTAAATAGAAAAATACTTATTGCTTATGAAAGCAAACTAGTTATTGGTTTGAATTTTTTCACTGAAGCACACACTTTTGAGTTTATCTTTGTCTATCCCTATCAGGGCCGCTCACTGTCTCCCAGTATGACCTGGCCATACCCATGCACTTACCCTCGTCCTGCTCAACCATCTCCATGCACTGTCCAATTCCATCAGTGATTCAGGCTCCTCTCAAGGCTCCCTGAAATGGGTACAGGCCTCGGGACGTCAGACACATTCCAGGCACAAAAGCAGCCCATACTGTAAAGCGGGCAGCTGAGTTCCCGCTTCCCTGAACTTGGCAGGGATGTCCCAGGAGAGGAAGAAACACTTTCCCTTGTTAGGGGGTCTGTTCTTCATGTCTCAGGGCCTCTGATCTAATGAACACAACTGTCCTGAATGTGAATGAACTTGCTAAATTTCTGGTTTCTTGCTAGGTGGCTACAACAGATTTACAAGACTCCTTTACTCACATATGTGTGCTGACGTCTGAATTCTTACCAGTATGATTTCTTTTCTTGTAAGGGGTGGCTTAGGGAAGATTGGCCATATTGCCATGCAAAGAGAGGTAAAGTGAATTTCTACTCAAATCAACCTTGAATTTGAAACCAGGTCTTCCACTATTTCAAAGCTCGACTGTAGGTCCAACTGTGCACATATTTGGACATCATATCTTCATCAGAATCCTCAGGCATGTGTCCTCAAGGGCTTGTGTGTCTGCTGTACACAGCATAAAGTTATTTCTCATTATGGCAAGTTATAATTAATTTGTCAGAATATGATTCATTATCAAGATAAAGTTAGTTATCATTATGGCAAGGACAAATTTAAAAGACTTATTAAATTTACGTCTTTATTTCCCCAGCTGGAAACAGTCAATAGATTGGTTCTGGGACTCCATAGTCTTAGGTTTTCTCCTAAGCCAGCCAGGGCAGCTGAAAGCAATTATGACTGCTAGTGGTCAGGTCAGTGAAGAGGAGCACGGGCTCACAAGGGCAGCCCCTCGTGGAGATGGTCAGAACCCTGACACAGGCAATATCTGACCAATTTGCTGGGATGATGCCACAAGGATCAATGGAGGATGCTGCCACGAGGAGAAAGGGGAAGAACCAAAAGAGTAGGGGAAGAAGGAAAATAAAATGTTTTCAATAATGATGGAAAAAAATGCAGAGCCCGGAGGCAAAGCCCCCTGTCACAGAGGGCTACTTCCAGGCTGTGGAGCCTAATCAAGAAATTCCTGCTGAACTTTGCTCAGTCCCATGTCAAAATGGTTTTGGATCAGTGACTTTGTTCCCTCCGCTTTCCCCCTTTTTGAACAAGAATCACTAGCAGTGTTATCCTGTGACTGTCCCACCATTGTACACTGAGAACAGATAATGGGTTTGTTCAGTTTCACAGGTCAACAGAGGTAAGGGAATTACATCAAGGATCTATACTTGGGCCAGCACGGCGGCTCTTGCCCGTAATCCTAGCACTGTGGGAGGCGGAGGGGGACAGATCCCCTGAGGTCAGCAGTTTCAGACTAGCCTGGCCAACAGGGCAAAACCCCATCTCTACTGAAAATACA